GTGAGAGTGGCGGCGCCCCAACCCCCTGATCGGCCCTGCTCTGTGGGTGATAGAGGGTGGCACCCCAACCCCCTTGGGCCCTGCTCTGTACGTGACAGGGGACAGCGCCCCAACCCCCAGAATGGCCCTGCTCTGTGCGTGACAGGATACAGAGCCCCAACCCCCCGATGAGTCCTGCTCTGTGAGTGACCGGGACAGTGCCCCAACCCCCAGATTGGCCCTGCTCTGTGCGTGACAAGATACAGAGCCCCAACCCCTCTGATGGGTACTGCTCTGTGAGTGACAGGGGGCAGTGCCCCAACCCCCTGATTGGTCCTGCTCTGTGGGTGACGAGGTGGCGCCGCAACCTCCCCATCGACTCTGCCTTGAGTGTGACAGGGGGTGGTGTCCCAACCCCCAATCGGCCCTACCCTGAGCGTGACTGAGGGTGGCATCGCAACCTCCCGATCTGCCCTGCTCTGTGCATGACAGGAGGCGACGCCCCAATTCCCTAATCAACCCTGCTCTGAGCCCGACCAGGGGCTGCACCTAGGGATTGGGCCTGCTCTCTGCCGCCCGGGAGCAGGCCTAAGCCAGCAGGTCGTTATCTCCTGAGGGGTCCCAGACTGTGAGAGGGCACAGGCTGGGCTGAGGGACCCCCTCCCCCCCGAGTGCACAAATTTTTGTGCACTGGGCCTCTAGTATTTAATATTTCATATGTCAGATACAAAAATAATCTGTTATATCCTGGCCGGTGTTGCTCAGTTGGTGGGAGCATCACCCCATACATCAAAAGGTGGCCAGTTCAATTCCCAGTTGGGACATATACCCAGGTTGTGGGTTCGATCCCCAGTCAGGGTGATCCCCTACTATGGGAGGCAACCAATTAATGTTTCTCACATCAATGTTTCTCTGTCTCTCATTCTCTGAAATAAATTTTTTTAAAAAGGAAATGTTAAAAAATGTCTGTCACCTGATTGTCTCCATCATACCTCAAACAGGCATTTGTGGCCTGGCTTACCAGGGTTATCATCATTATAAATCATGAGTGATCAGAAACCAACAAGAAATGAGATTATTCTTTATAGAACTAGCCTCATAAAATCTTAATCTGAGAGATGTTTTTATGAACTTATCTTTCTGAATATGAAATCTTAGCCTGCTCCTCAAATCCAAACAGACTTTCTTGCCAGATTTTCATTCCATTAGCACTCACCTCTGCACATTTGCATCCCTGTCCCTGTTCTTTGGCAGGTCCCCTGGCTGCAGTTCGCTAGGCGAGGGCTCGGTGCTGATGACAACCCTATGCACTTCTTTCAGATGGCCGAAATAGATTCTGACATGACCAAACACTTTTGCACAAAATTCACAGCACACAAGTTTCTTCAGCCGGTTCTCGCCATGATGAAGTTTCATGTGTGCGCTCAGGCTGCCGGGACGCACGTATGCCTTGCGACAAATTCGACAGCTGTAAGGCCGTCTGTTAGTGTGGGTATTCATGTGGTCTCGAAGGTGCTGCTTGAACTGGAAGTGGTGGTTACAGACAGGACATCTGTGCCAAGGCTTCTTAATGCCAGAGAATCCATTTCTGAATGCAGAGCTGGGCTTAGGGGAAGGGCTGTCGTCCTGCTTACAGCCGAGATATTTAGGAGTGAGCGAATTATTTAACAAACTGTCCTGTCCTAGGCTGCTGGGCCTTTGGGAAGGTAATATAGCCACAGGAGAACCCAAGGGAGCCACAGCAGGCATGACAATGACAGGTTTAGGCATAATGCTACGGTATTTTTTCAAAGCCCCAGGTTTTTGCTCTCTGGATTGTTGGGAATCATTTTTTATTATTTTACATTTCCTCCTTTTCCCCTGAAATGACAAGATTTCATCGGGTACCTTTAGTTTTCTTCCTTTTCTCTTTGTTGCCCCGCCATTCAGTTTTGTTTTGTGGTTGAGATCCAGTTTGGGAGCTGGACAAAAGGCACTTTCACAGAGACTCTGCTTTGACACCTGTGGACCAGGTACCTTATTGGCCACTTTGGTGGCTGCATCAAAGCCTTCGGTGACGGTGGATGTCTTATCCGAGTGCACCCTGAGCCCAGGTAAAGAAAAGTCTACAATGTTAACATCGGACTCACTTTTATAAACCTCTGTTGTTTTCATACTTACGGGGGGTAAGACGGGCAGTTTACCTTTGGGGACTGAGGGCACCCACTGGAGTGAACCACCCCAAATGGCTGTCGATAACCTGACTGTGCCTTCTGCAAGGTCAACTTGTTCTTTATGTTTTTCACTGGCAACAGCGGCAGGTTTACTGGATGGTTCTTTGCTTGCAAAGATTTCTTTCCCTGAAATCTTCATGAAGCCCTGCCTGGCAGAGGGCTCCTCTGGTGCGGATGATGTTGGGGTGTCAGGAAGGTTCGGGTCTCCACAGTCACTGGTCACTGGAGGTTGAGCGCCTCCAGGGCCACCTCCGCTGGTTAGAGCAGCCCGGCTGACGCTGGCTGGGGCCTGGCCTGGTGGCAGCACCGGTTCGGACGGACTGGGCTGGGGCAGGGGCTCAGAACAGCCAGGTGGGGAAGGAGACGTTTGGGTTTGGGCAGGAGGTTTGCTACAGCCACGTTCAGAGAAGCTCGAAATGGGGTTCTTTGTTGATCCTTTGTTATTTCTTGGGGGTTGGTATCGAGGAATAGGCAGTTTAAGGTTTTCAGGCAGGGGCAGTCTGGGTTTCTGGACTGGTTGAATTGAGGCAACCTGAGGCAACGCCACGAGAGAAAATGTTCCCTTCTGGCCAGCAACCTGCATCAGAGCATAATTTTGGGCAGGCACCCCCAGTGGTGTAGAGCTGATGGGGGGGCCTGGATTCACCTGATCAGAGAGTGATGGCGAAGGGCCCGACAGCACTCTGGAAGTTAGGACTTTGGACACAATTTTCGGTGCAATGGTCCTAAACTGACTCTTGGTCTGCAAACCTTTTCCACTTTGTATTGTTCCAGAAGGCATGACTGATCACCTGCAACGACATTACAATGTAAAAAGTCACCTTGGTATAACTGTCCTGTTGTTAAGAGTGCAAGTAAGCATTTTATCAATTCCGCTGCCTTAAGGCTTTCCTAGACCAGCCCTGCTCTTCTGAGCAAGCCCTCACACTCTTCAGCATCCGGCCTAAAGGTCAACTCCTGCCCACCTTTCCCAACGATCAACTATTATTCTCCTCTCTGGGTCCACAGCCCCTATTACAACATTTGCCACTTTTCATAATAATCTATCTGTTTATGTGTCTCTATTACTAAACAGAGCTTCTTGAGAGCTGGGGCTCTGTCCTGCTCATCTTTAGTCCACTGAGTCCATCCTGTCCATTAACCTAATTCTGATTCATCTTTACAGGCCTGTCCTGATCTGAGCTGCAGTCCTGCTACTGGTCTTCCCTCTGGTCTGTTCTGCTGTGTATTTTACTTATTTTATATACATGTCTGGTTGTCCCTATAAAAGTTAAGCTTTGCGAGGGTAAAGCTGATATTTAATTCATCTTGATATTTTCCTCTGTAGCTTCAGTATGAAACAAACGTTTCTTGTAGCACTCATTTTTTCACTCAATTTCAGGACACACCATTTGACCCCTTGGTAGTGTGGTTGTGTGGCACAGCGAATGCATTCAGACTGAATGCCAGCTCTGTTGCTATTTCCCTGTGTGACTCGTGAATTCTTTCTCACACCTTCCAAACTGTTTACGTGTGCTTTTGCAATTAAATCTCCAGCATTAAAAAAGTTGATGCGACACCTTAAAAAATGTTGAGGGAAAAGAAAACGATAGAAAGTGATAGGTAAAGAGATAGGACAACATAAAAAACACACAAAATCACACAAAAGCACCTCCGAGGGCCCTGACAGAGTAGCACCCACACTCCCTGGCTTTATTATGATTAGAGACCAATTTTACAGCTACTCTAAGAAAACAATCCCAGAAACATTTTGATGCACTGCTTCTAAGTATTATATTACCTATTTTATTCCTGAAGCCTCGAGGTAGTAAGGCCTGGCTGCAGAGAAGTTTCCCATTTCTAAGTCCCTCACTTTGGGCACATTTCACTCCAACTCACTGGGTACCTACATTATTCTAGTGGTTGGCTATTAAAGGCCCATAATCCCCTTTCTAAAACCTCTGGAGCATAACATGTTTTGAAGTTTATACTTTCAAATTAAAAAAAATAGTAGAATGCATAAACACATTGTACCATAACAAGAATAAGAAATGTATACTGACCAACTTATTTTAGAAAGGAATCACTGTCCGGGGAAGATAGAGTCTGTTAAAAACATGTTTCAAATGGCAGCTCACATTAGAATAAGAAGGAAAATCACTAGTGCTATGGTCTGGAAAACCGACACAGGAGAATTATATAATCTGTTGTTTTCCTATTTAGCTTTGCTACCACAAAGTTCATGGGTAAAGTGCTTGGTCAACCACCTGGCAATAGTCACCTAAATGGAGTGCTACATTTCCTCCTTCTTCCTCTATAGGTTATTTATTTTGTAAATTTATTTTCATAACCTTTAAAGTTAAATGTCTTTCATTTTAAGCTTATCTCATCTTTTTGGAAGAAGTACTGAAGTTGTAAATAAATATATTAAATTTGAATTGTGAGGCTTTGCAGAAAGCTTAAAATTATTGATAGCTTTTGGTTAAATAACTGCATTAACAATGATAATGGTCTACAGAACAGATCCGGTGTGAGGAAGGAAGAGAAAACATTGGGTCACTTTTATCTAGTTTATACTCTTTAAAAAAAAAAAAAATCCTCACCCCAGGAAATGTTTCTTCATTGATTCAAGAAAGGGAGAGAGAGAAATATCAGTCCATTGCCTCACCCACACACCACGACCAGATATCGAACCTACAATCTGGTAATGTGCCCTGACCAGGAATCACACCCGCAACCCTTCAGTGCACAGGACTATAGTCCAACCACCATGCACACACTAGCCGGGGCTCTAGTTCATACTCTTAATTGATTGAGCACAAAATATTTACAACAAGAAGAGCTGGAAGAAAGGCTACTTTGTCCTCAGTCATAAATCCTCTTGAAATAATATGTGACGCCCTAACCGGTTTGGCTCAGTGGATAGAGCGTCAGCCTGCGGACTGAAGGGTTCCAGGTTCGATTCCGGTCAAGGGAATGTACCTTGGTTGCAGGCACATACCCAGTAGGGAGTGTGCAGGAGGCAGTTGATCGATGTTTCTCTCTCATCAATGTTTCTAACTTTCTATCCCTCTCCCTTCCTCTCTGTAAAAAAAATCAATAAAATATATTAAAAAAAAGAAAAGAAATAATATGTGACAATAATACATCAAAGCATAAGTGACATCACCTCACTTGACTGCTCAATTACCTGCCATTTAAAGAAGTGGATACTGGGGTAGACAAGTTTACCAGCTGGCTTCATGATCAATGACCATAACCTGATCACAAGAAATCTGTGGGGTAAAAAGATAAGGGTCTATTGGGTAAATTTAACTTACTCAAGTTTACCTGGAACTGTAGGAAGCACATATAAGGGTGAGGGTCTCCATGAGTGTGCTGAGTCTCATGTCCCAGAATCATTAGGATGAAGTGATAGGGAGTGAAACTGATGCATTAGAAGACATGCAAGGCAAGAGAAGGAGGACAAAGCCACAAAAACAGAAGAAAAACAAATGGAAAACCCCTTAGGAGTTAGTTAAATGTCTAGCAAAGGGTACTAACAGAATGATAATCCAACCATATAGTGTAATACCATGCAGCAGGAAAAAGAAAATGAGTTAGACTGATAAGGACTATACTCTAAGATGTGAGATTTATAGTATGCTATAGTTTGCTTTTAAAAATATAGTGAGATACACACAAATATATTCCTGTATATGCACAGGATATTTCTGAAAAGAAACAAAATAAACTCATATTATGGTGGCCTTTGAGGTTGGGGCTGTGGAGAGCTAAGAGGTCAGGATGAGGCAGGTGCTTATTTTCCTTGAATGCTCTCTATGCCTGGCATACAGAAGGTGCTTAAATATTTGTTGAATGAATGAAAGGAAAATGAAAGTTTCCCTATTTGAATCTGTTTTTCAAAAGGGTATCTTTTAGGACAGTACTTTTCAACTAGTGTACCACAAGAATTTTTCAAACATGCAACAATACCTGCCTATTTAGTCTGGGGCATTAACCTCTTTTCCCCTATGTCAAATAAAAAAAAAATGGCAACAGACAACACAAAATAGCCATCTAGTGTGAATGAATAAAAATTATACCTACTTCGCCAAAACCGGTTTGGCTTGGTGCATAGAGCATTGGCCTGCGGAATGAAGAGTCCCAGGTTCGATTCCGGTCAAGGGCATATACCTTGGTTGCGGGCACATCCCCAGTAGGAGGTGTGCAGGAGGCAGCTGGTCAATGTTTCTCTCTCATCGATGTTTCTAACTCTCTATCCCTCTCCCTTCCTCTCTGTAAAAAATAAATAAAAATATAAAATAAAAAAATTATACCTATTTTTTGTCAGATTGGCAAAAAATATATTTTTTTGGTGTGCCGCAGAATTTTAGTATTTCGTTTGTGGGTGCCATGAGATGAAAAAGGTTGAAAAATCACTGTTGTAGGATATTCATATGGGTAAGTGTGTGTATGAATAAATGACTGTCTAGATTATATACAAGAATAGCTCATTTTTTTCCTTGTCTGCTTAATCATAAGAATTGCTAGTGATAAGAAAACTGATCTAACATCTGACAGTGCATAATTACTCCCAAAAGGTAAGCACTTCCAAGGACAATTAGAGCTGTTCCTCCAAACATTTGGTTCTTTAGGATAAAACAAAGCAATTTTCAATAAAAGTCAGTTACACTACAATACTACAGACTGTTTTTTTTTTTTATTTTTAAAGTAGTTTGAACAGGAGTTTTTAGAGAAGTTGAAAGTAGCTGTAAGGTTTTAAAACTCTAAAATTCCAAGATTCCATGACTGTAGGCAGTCTTTCTTTGCAATGTAGTTACAAGAGTGGTTTATTCCATTACCCACTTTCAAGACCTTTCACAGATGGTGACCAAAATACCCTCACCTGTTACCTACTAATTACAGATCTCATCGAGCTGTGCTCTAAATAACGAGAGGTAGAAATTCCCACTGACATTCATAATTTCTGGAAATTGTGCAAAATTACCCATAACACAGTTTAAGAGACTCACAGGACTCTCAGGCTCTAAACATGGACTTTTATTAACTGAAAACATAAAAGGCTCAATTAATTTTGCACAATTTTACAACATGAATCCTTAATATTAGGATTCTAAATGTAAGCTGTTTTATAATATGTTAAGCATATTAAAAATAACTATTTTGAAAAGTGACATTTACAGAAACTGACCTAACTGGATTTAAAAGTCAACTAATAGATATTGAGTCCTTATTATGGTCTAGAATCTATGCTAGGTCTTTTAATTGATCCCTCAAGTAAACCTTGCAAATAAATATTATTGTTCCCCTTATATAGATTAAGAAAAATAAGTCTTCAGGAAGTTAAATAATGTGCCAAAGTTCACACAACCAGATCTGCCCTATTCCAATTTGAAGCAATAACCTTCCTCCCCTTCATTCTCCCCTTAAAAGGAGAAAAATTACATAGAAATTGCCTTAATTAACTCCAAAATATAACATTATCTCTGAACATTTAGGAAAAAAATTTTTTTGATATAAAAATGGCTTGACAGATCCCAAAACTTCAATCACTTTTAAATGATTCTCAAAGCCTACTTATTAGAGAGAACTTATGAAACGTTAATCATTTCTTAAGGTAAAAGCAGATTTTTAAAGTTGAATTTGCCACTTATTGTCCATAGGAGTCTGACAAATCCAGTATGGCTGTCAGATATTTGTTTGGGAAAATGCACTGTGTGTCCTCCTCTCCCTCCATTGCTTCCAAAGAATTGGCCTAATGGAGAGGGGCTGCATGTTAGAGGCAGCAGAGGGAAGAGTGAGGGCTCAA